ATATGCCACCGGCTGAACACCCTTGAAAAAAAATCCACAGCTAACGAGGCTCACATACGTCAGATCGATCAGCTGCAGGCACAGATTGATGCGATGGAACAGCTGGCGAGGCAGTGCAATGTGGAGATAAATAATCTGCCCGAAAGGCGAGGAGAAGACCTCGTTTCCGTGGTGTCAGCCCTGGGGGATTTAGTGAAGCAACCCCTGTCACGACGTGATATTGTAGCTGTCCATCGGGTACAACATGCCGATAGGAGTAGCAAACGGCCAAGGAATGTTATCGTAAAGCTGCATAGCACAATTATACGTGATAATTTGTTAGCGGCAGTCAGGCTGGCTAAGGGTGTCACTTCGGATCAGCTCAACATGGCAGGCCCACCACAAAAAATATATCTAAATGAGCACTTAATTTTAAAGAACAAACAATTGTTTCGTGAGGCAAGGCTGGCAGCCAAAAACTGTGGTTTTAAGTACTGCTGGGTCAAACGCGGAGTCATATTGGTGCGTGAAAACGATACTTCGCCGGCTTTTGCAGTTCGTCGTCAAGAAGATTTACAAAAAATTAAAAAAGAAGCAAAATAATAATTTAATGACACTGTTACACTTTATTTGTGAATTATTATTACTATTTTTTTATGTAAAGTTACCTAAAAATCTTAAGTTATGTGGTACATCAAGTGCTCTCTCTGTGTTTTGCATTGGTCTGTTGTTTTGCGCTGTCCGTTTTGGAACTCGTCCGTGCGGCGATAATTATCAGTGTACCTCCGTGTCGTTTTATGTTATGCTGATTAAGTTATTAATAAGAAATTATTGCGAAATGTGTTTATACAAATCTGATAACTGTTTTTATAAAGTGAAAAATAAGTGTCACTCGGACCCAACTGTGAAACTTCGTATAAGATTCCAATATTCATTTGTCGTAAGTACCTGCTTTTATTGTCCCACTCACTCTGAATACGTTAAATACTCTATTTTCGTGTTTTTACACATTAATTTGTTTCTAAATATTATACCAGATTTACAGTTATGCAATTTATTAGTGAAAATAATGATACACTCTTACACAGCATTAAATATGAATGTTTTAAAAAGTACCATAGTGCTGTACTCGTATACATTTTTCCTTACAAAACATATTATTATTATCAATATTTTTGTACCAAGTGCGTTTTTAATAATTTTAAAAGGTAATGATTCATTGTTCATTCTTTCGAAGTATATCGTTGGGGTTATGACTGCTTTGATTGATTTTTTACACATTTTATACTGCAAAGAAAGAAATGGATTTTACTTGGACTGCATGTTATTAAATCAATCTTATCTCAATGATGCGTCAGCATTTCAAATTCTAATGTTTTATTGCAATATTATGTTATTTGTTGTGATTGCAAGCAAGAACACATTTTCAATTTATTATTACACAAGAAATTTAATACTTAAGGATACTTATTTGCAAAATGACTAATAAGTTATCATTTTACTACCAGAATTGTAGGGGATTACGCACAAAGCTAAATTTATTTTTTATGAACGTTTTATCTGAGTCCTACGACATTATAATTTTAACCGAGACCTGGCTTATATCCTCCATAGTCGATGCATCAATAATTGATAATCGGTATACGGTTTTTCGTTGTGATCGCGACCTCGAGGCGACTGGTAAAAAGGATGGTGGCGGTGTACTGGTGGCCGTGCGCCGCGGGCTCTCAGCTCGCCGATGTGAAATGGGTCAGGGAAGTACTGGCGAATCCGTCTCCCACACCCTGTCACCTAACATTGATTATATTCTCTTAAGAATACCATCGAGCACAAACAACCGCTTTCATACAATATGTGCCGGTTACATACCCCCCCGCCAGTCTTTGCAGACTTATAAGAATTTTTTCAATGCCGTAGAAAGCTCCGTCTCACAGAGCTATATAGATAATTTTTATGTTATTGGTGATTTTAATATGCCATCTCTTCAATGGAAATTAAACAGTGACTCAAGTGCGATTCCTGTGCTAACTAAGGATAGTGGTGAGATTGATTATTGCATTATTAACTTTTTGTCATACCTTCGATCATATCAATTCAATATTAACAAAAATAGCAGTGGGAATGTTTTGGATCTATTTATTTCAAATGCGATAGAATGTACTGTAGAGACTGTTCATAGTCCGCTGGTACCAATCGATAGTCATCACCCACCCTTTTCGGTAGCTGCACAACTTAATCTAAATCATACATCTATAAAAGAAAATAAAGCCCCAAGATATAGATTTATTGAAGGCGATTACCATGCAATAAACACTGATATCATGGCTATTGATTGGCATAATTTACTTGATTCTCTGCCGGCTGAGGAAGCTGTTAATTTATTCTATGAGCATATATATCAAATTATTGCTAAAAACATTCCTTCAAGGCCAGTGAAGTCTAGAGAATTTCCAGTATGGTTTAGTCGTCCACTCATACATATCTTTAAAAATAAGGAAAAGGCGTGGATTCAATGGAAGAAATATGGTAACCTATCTGACTATGAGATTTTCTCCCTTTACCGTCGCAGGTTTAAAGATAATGCCAAACAATGTTTCGATAATTATATAAAGACTGTGGAGGAAAGTATACGATCTGACATTAAAGCTTTCTGGTCATATGTTCACAAGTTTAACGAAGTTGGTGGTGTACCTGAGGTCATGAATTTTAACGACACAAAGGCTGATGATCCCGAACTAATCTGTAACCTTTTTAATGATTTTTTTGGCTCCGTCTTTGAGCCCAGTTCCTTAAATGGCTTTAATATTGACTCATTGCATGCAGAAAATTGTAACAGTAACTTCAGATTGTCGGATGTTACCTTCTCACGACAAGAAATAATTAATATATTAAAGGCATTAGATATTAGTAAAGGACATGGACCAGATAATATTCCCCCTATATTCTTCAAATTTACGGCCGAAAATATATCTGTCCCATTAGTCATACTTTTTAATAAATGCATGAACGAAGCCACTGTACCGCAGGCCTGGAAAAGTGCTAACATTACTCCTATTCATAAAAATGGGTCCAAAAATAATGTCAAAAACTACCGTCCTATTTCTCTTTTGTCGGTCTTGGCGAAGGTCTTGGAAAGGCTCGTCCACAACGCCATTTATCCTCAGTTACATACTATTATCTTACGACAGCAACATGGTTTTGTCAAGCAAAGATCAACTGAGTCGAATTTATTGATTTTTAGCAACTTTTTGTTTGAGAGTATGGATCAGCGCGTTCAAGTTGACGCCATTTATACAGACTTTTGCAAGGCCTTCGACAAGGTTGACCACGAAATTCTCCTTCAAAAGTTGGCTTTTAACGGTATTAGGGGGGACCTCTTGCGTTGGTTCCGGTCATATGTGGATAATAGGACTCAGAGAGTGGTTGTCAGGGGTTACACTTCTGGTAGCAGTGTGGTTACGTCTGGCGTTCCGCAGGGCTCCATTCTTGGGCCGCTGCTGTTTGTAATATTTATAAATGACATAGATCAGTGCTTTAAAAATTGCGAGTTTCTGTTATATGCAGATGATCTAAAAGTTTTTAAAAAAATTTATACCTCAGATGATTGTCTTAGCCTTCAGGCAGATTTGAATCGTCTTGTTGAATATTGTGGACTAAATAAATTACATCTTAGTATTGAAAAGTGCAAGTCCATAACATTCACAAAAAAACTTAATGTTACTAACTTTACTTATTCTCTTGGCAATACCACCTTAGAGAAAGTTCAAAACATTCGTGATCTTGGTGTATTACTTGATTCTGAACTTCATCTTGATAACCATATAGCCAAAATTGTCAGCAGGGCTTACCAAATGTATGGGTTCATTATGCGTATAAGCTGTAACTTCAAAAAACCGAGTACCTATTTACATTTGCTTAAGAGTCTTGTGAGGCCGCAACTGGAATATGCCACCACTATCTGGAATCCTCATTATAATAAATATAATGAATTGATCGAGGCGGTCCAAAGAAAGTTTTTAAGAAGAGTTAATTACAAATGCCGGCTGCCAAAATGTTCGTATAGTGACTCATTAAATAGATACTCTTTGCAAAGTCTCCAGACACGCAGGATCATGCTTGGTTCAATGACCCTATATAAAATCATTCATAATTCCTTTGATTGTTGTCAGTTAACAAATGGTATATATTACCAAATTCCGAGCCGCTCTGAGAGAATACGTAGTATGCGTCCGCATAAGCTCTTTTATTTAAAAAACACACAAACAAATGCAGGACAACGTGCGCCGTTTTACAGAATGATGTCGTTGTATAATCATTACCTTTATGAGGAGGATATGTTTTCCTTAACGCCGAGCGCATTCAAAAAGCGAATTATTGAAAAACTTTAATTATTATATTATTATTATTATTTTTTTATATACTAAAATTTTGGAGTGGGTCTGTAATATGCATGCTTACGATTATAAAATTCCTTAANGTTTTATAGCCATAAAAGTTGGCTCTAGCGTAACTACCTATTTTTTTAAGAAGTGACTCTGGAGCCTTCTAAAGACACATTTTTGTGGTAAAAACCTTTCCTTTAATGAAATGAAGGTTAGAACTAGGCTTTCAAATGGTGCCAATATTGGTGGGAAGTGGGGAAGCATACGTTTGAAAATGCTTGTCGTGGGAGGTGCGATTTATTTGATGTCGAGTGTAGTTCCAAAATACTGAACTGTCCTATGCATGACATTGACAGTGGGGCGCCACCCACAATACCGGATCGCTGGTTCTGATTTTTGCCATGTTGGAAACCATATAGTTGAACGATGGTAGCGCCCCCCTGTCATTGAGTTTGGTGGGACAGTTCAGCGTGGGTCATCTATATGCTTCTAAAAAAAAAAAAAAAAAAAAAAATCTTTACTACGACAAACAAGGAAAGCTATGAGGAGAAATCAAAAACATTTTTAACGAAAATAATTTATTAAAATTGGTACAGTAAAGCATACAAAAAAATAATTCTAGCGTTTAATTTCACTTGAATTAAAATAATGAATAAATAGTTTTTTAAAAGCTTTTCAAGCGTTATATCGCTTTGCGATATTACAATATTTACAACATTTGTAATGTCTTTCTGGCCTTCTCGAAATTATCCGTTAATATCTTAAAATACTGTCATAGTTTTGCCTTACATTCTTATATTTCTGCTATGTAGGTATATTTGGTTTTGGTGAATGTATGTGTACCTAATGCTAAGGCATTTCGTACTTTGAACGCGTTTTGTGACTTATTTATCAAATTAAATGACATATTCCATGAATCATGTACAAATATTTTAAAAAATCTCATTACAAACATAAGTCGTGCGTAAAATACTCTATAAAATATGTTTTGAGTATCTCTAAACACAGTTAAAAGTTGAAACGTATGGACGACTAACCATCATAAATAAGCAAACCGTTGTCATAACAATACATGTCCCTTAAATGCTCATATTCATACGTTGTACCATATCTTGTCTTAACACGGGTGATAATAGCTTCGCCTTAAGTGCACTTGACGCTAAATCTTAGGTAGTAACGAGTGGGTTATGAATGTGGTCTGTGGTGGTGCTTAGGCGCACTTGCCGCAGAGAGGCTTGTTGTCCATGACGGAGAATGTCGAGTCTGTGACGGGGTTGCGGCATTTCTGGAAGTAAACGAATTGTTTTTAAAAGGTTTGTTATATGAGGTGGATTTGTTATATTGCTGTTGGTATCAGCCGTAATCTTCTATATAAATAAAAATGAATTGCTGTTCGTTAGTCTGATTAAAACTCGAGAACGGCTGGGCCGATTGAGCTGATTTTGGTTTTAAAATGTTTGTCGTAGTCCAGGGTAGGTCTAAACGGTGAGCAAATAAGGAAAAATTGCGATGGCTTATTTATTGCCTTTAAGGTGGAACAGAGTTCGCGGGGTCAGCTAGTAAATAATAAATAAATAAAAAAATGTTTATTTGGCACAACACATTAAAATTACAAATTAAAACTAAAAATAAAATTGTACCAAACAGGTCCTCGCTCAGCATATGCCAAGGCACGAAGTACCTCGACGCTGATATTCTGCGAGCACCGTTTAAAGAGAGAGAGAGAGAGGTTTTGAGTCTAATCCTTTGCTACCGAAAAAGCACTATAGCCCGCACTCACTGCAAACCTATCTTTACTGCCAGCCAGGCTAGGGTCAACAGTACTCACGTTGCAAGAACTGACGTGAAGCTCTCAGCCTGAACATCCAGACCTTGCTTCTCACTAAGCGAACCAAATGCCCAGGTGGAATTACGAGCAAAAACTGCTGATAGTGCTATCCCATGTTCCTAACTAATTGGCTTTTGAGGGCTTACAGAAACGAGTAAGCCCTTTTTGACAGGGAGAGCTGCACATAACTCTGGCTGGTGGGTATGCTTCAATCAGAGAGTAGGCTAGCTTGGTGGCATAGCATTTTCCATAAGTGAAAGTCAGTCGACGGATTACGGGATTAGCAAGCTGAAGTGGCAATGGGCAGGGCACATAGTACGCAGAACTGACGGCCGATGGGGCAGCAAGGTTCTGGAATGGAAGCCGCGTACCGGAAAACGCAGCGTAGGACGTCCACCTACAAGGTGGACCGACGACATCGTAAAAGTAGCAGGAAAGCGCTGGACGCAGGCCTCTACCAACCGGGCAACATGGAAAGCATTGTGGGAGGATTATGTTCAGCAGTGGACGTCCTATGGCTGAGATGATGGTGGGTATGCTTCGATCAGAGAGTAGGCTAGCTTGCTGGCATAGCATTTTCCAGAAGTGAAAGTCAAACTACTCACGTTGCAAGTGAAGCATTCGCGGTGCCACTTGGCGTCGAGCGCGATGATGGCCTTGTCCACGATGGGCTTGCTGCAGCCTTGGCAGCGCGCCGCAAACTTGTCCGCGTAGCACGACGAGCAGTAGGGTCGGCCAGCCTGGAAACCACAAAGATAACGAGCTTGTATTGGTGCCTAGAGAGAAGTGACCAAAGGCTAAAGCCTGGTCCGTGAGCACGTAGAATTTTGTACAATCGTCGCGACTGTGCGACGGGTGCCCGCAATGAGTGTGCGAGCGCGACAGCAACATAATTACGCGCGAGCGATAAGGATGGGTAGCTTGGGGTCATTGGACAAAATTCTACGTGCTCACGGACCAGGCTTTATACAGAGAAGTGACTTGTATCGCGCCGAGGGAAGTACAGTTCAGGGTCAAGCTACAGTTAAGTCTGTCGTGAAAGTGATGCCCCTAACTCAATACCGGTAGGCAGCAGCATACCGAGAAGATGCCCGGGTAAGGAGCGTAATCTTGAGGCTCACACCAGCCACTGGCTGAAGAAATCACAACGACGCCTCTAATAGACCTTAGTTGGTCGAATTAACAAACTTGTATTGGAATGCAGGGAAGCGACTAAGGCTTTTTACAGAGTTCAAGTTCGCTTGTTGTATCATGGTGCAGGTGACACATGTCATTCAAAATAGGCTAGTTTCCTAAATAAGTTTTTTTAGTCCGTCATGTTGGTAATCGAAAAATATTGGACACGTATATTTTTATTTGACAATCAAAGTAATAATTACAAAGTTATGGTGCGTTGAAGTTCCGCGCGACGTCACAAAGTGCTGCACTTTTAAGCACTCGTTGACGTCACGGGCCTTTTCTTTTGAACTTTGGCGCGCTTTAACTCTTTAAATTTGCATTAGTTTGAAAAAGTAAAAAAATACGTATTGCGTATTTTTTGATAAGTTAACTGACAGACTAATTATAACTCTTGCTTTTATACCTAGGGAACATTCCTATTACGCCTTTGCCTTTGATAGGCGTTCCATAATTATTTTTGCCAATAAAATCTGCGCAAGGGAATGTCGTACAGTCGTACTTCACTGCAATCTTATTGCACAGAAATTGACGTTCCTGCGTTCGTCATGACATTAAGATATCAAATAGGGTCAAAAGTGGTTTTATATTGGAAGACCAGCTCACCTGTTCCATGAAGCCACCGCCGCCCAGCTCCTTCCTGCAGCCGCCGCACACAAAGTGGTGCGCGTGCCACGACACGCCGAGTGCTTGGATCACGCGCTGGAACAATACCATTGAATTGATTTAAAACCTTCGATCAAACAGATTTTTTGTTTGGTAAGAGACACAGCGTTAAAATTATTGTTGCTCTATCGCCTACCTACTTCAATAATCGTTAACGGCCCGATTGAGCCTGGCTAAGCTAAGATGTCTTGACATAAGCCCGGTTTCGGAATCGAGATTTTTAGCTCTAACGTGCTCATCTTCAACTTGCTTTTCAAAAATCGCTCAAGCTAAAATCTGAATTCAGAAACACAGTAGTAACCCCATGACAAAAGATCAGAAAATCCACCCACACTTTTTTACGTCCGTCACATACTCAGATCATAGAAAGAGAATAGATATGAAGTCGCGCGTAACTACAACGAGAACCAGTGTCCCCACATTTCCCCCACCACAGCTCCCACACACACATTCAACTGTGTAAAAACAAAGCGACTGTGAGTCTACGACAACATGTGCAACCGGCTTAAAAGTGCTGTGATTGGCCAGAAGGCGTGCCTTATGGCCAATCAATGGCCGCGTTACGTGACGCACACTAAGAAAATGCTAGTGAGAGAACAAAGATAAAATGGAGTCGACAAGATATCGATACTTTAAATCGCTAGGGGCAAGGCTCGAAACTGGTTTCACAAAATGCTTATGTATGAAAAGCTTTTTATTATTAAACGTTATTATTAACTACTATCACGCATTTACTTTTTAATTATGGCGATCTGCGTACCGCATAATTTTATCAAAATAATGCCTATATTAGGCTTTCAACTAGCTCTTATAGTAATTACAGTTACTAATTACTTCTACTGTTATTTTTTTTTTGTAAAATCTTATAATCGCAAGTAACACATCATTTTTTATTTAAAATTACAAAATAGAAAATTATAATTTACTTCTATTTATCGATAATAGGAAACCGCATTAGGACACGAGCACGGCACTATGTTACGACCGGCACATGCGGCCGTACTGTGTATTTTCACACGACGGTGGATATCGGAAGAAATTAAATACATTGCGCAGTAGTTGAGCATGACATAAAGTGGTTGCTAACTAAATCGTCAATGTACAAGTGTGTTAGAATTTTTATCACCACTGATTTCGATATCGCAGTAACTGTTACGGCACTGAATTCGTTCGTAAAAATGTTTAGTTTTTTTTATTTATAAGCAAAATACCAATGGATTTGCAATACTTAAATGTAGTAAATGACTCCATTGTTCCTGTAGTTCTTCGTTTCACTTGTTTTATTGCACGGAACGACGCATTATCCAAAATATCGGAGAACATTTCCTTAGTACGACTGAATCGCGACTAACCTAGCTACGCGGCCGATGTTCGTTTCTGGGCATATCGCGGAGACACGCGCCACGCCCCCGTTTCACATCTATTCCCTTCTATGATCTGAGGTCACATATAACTTCCCACGCCGGCCGTTAAAAAATATTTGTTATAACTAAAGTTCTAGACTTCTTTACATTACTTCTTAAATGTATAGCCGATTCGCGTTTTCCATCGTCTGCATTCTCTCTTTTAGAGAATTATGCTTATTAAAACAAACATGAATCAGCCGGCCCATTGTAGTCAACAGCCAGACTAAACTATGGGCATTCTTTAGCCGAAACCACAGTATAAATATCTCAAAATCAGTAGGCAATTTCCAAATTAGGATACACAAATTGAATTTCTCTTTTTTTGATTATTCATCGTCGCTATAGTTTACTAACATGAAATTAGTCAAATCAATAACTTACTTTTAATTAATTATTAACTCCATATTCTTTTAATTACCTACACTCTTAACTACATCTTAGAAACCATTACTGGTGGCCTTAAAACACGGTATGGTAGTATACATTATGGTATTTCTTGGAACCTATTCGCTCCATTGCCCATGGTGTTATGTTACTGCCTACCACCATACACTGGGTATGGGCACCTCGGATGCGTACGCGCCGAGATGTTTTTCTCCAAAACGGTGATGTCACCCGCGAGACAATGGCGCCCCTTCAGCGATCGATGCGGTGGATTGGCATTCACAACACACTCGTTATGCCCAGATGCAAGGATGAGCAGATTGCGGATCCTTTTAGTTCATTTGATCAAAGTTAAACAACGAAATTGATGTTCAAAACTTTCCTAAACACACTGCAATTGTAATGTTTTAAATCATCCTATTACAGTCAAGTGGCTAACAAAATGCTTCTCAAAACGTGTTATAAATACCTAGATAGCAGATTTAAAAAATGGTGTCTTCTTGCGGATTAAAAAAGACATAAAAGAAGAAGAAGAATACTTAAAATTTAGTTCAAATTCGAAATTTACTATTATTTCCTCTACTGTAGTAGAATTGCGATTAGCTACTAATTAAAGTAAATAAATGTTACTTTATGATCAGGCCATTAATCATGTTGACTTTACAGTGTTTACGTTACGCCACATGAGCATACAATAATATTGACCAAGTCTATATTTCTTTACCTGCATACTTAATTAGTATCATATTACATCCAGGATCTACGTATAAACATACTGAGTAATGCATTTGCAAGAAACTGCAATAAAGTTCGCGTAAGTTGTCACCATGATGCCAACATCAATTAGCAGGTCTTTCATTGCGTCAATAAAAGATCCTGGCAGTTACCGATGCCATAGTATTTGTTAGCAAACATAGCAATTACTTGGTATATACGCCTTGCACCTAATTAACTGCAATGCATGAGGCTCGAGGTCGGGAACGACGTGACTGGTTGCACGGTACAAATTGTTTAACTTATTACTCAATTTTGAGTATGTCATTGATTGATCTTATTTATTTATAGAAACCAACAGCGATCTTATTGTTATTCCAAAATTCTTAAGTTCTACATGAAGCAGCTTAATTAAAAAAAATATATAGTCGTATTTTTTTGTTACAAATTACAATCCGTACTTAACATTTCATAATTAGTTTGTCACTAATCGAACTATATCAGCGAAGACTTTGATCTCCATTTTAATCACGTCACTCACATGCTTTGTTGTCTTTAACACAAGCAATTGTTGTTTAATTAGGTAAATTATTTCATCAAAAGGAGTTATTAGTGCCATTTATGATGTTTGTTTACACCGACGTGCCATAATGTCTGCAGCTAATCAACTTTAGCCATTAGTGTGAGGACGGAGTTATGACTGAGGCGTGGTGCATATTACTACTTTTTAATTAACACTCATTCGCTGTAATGAAACTGTTTAGGGTTACTTGTCTATTTATTCGTATTCGTTTTTTTTATTTCGGACAAGTCTTCATTCATACTATACCAAAAATAGGCATTGGAAATAACAGAGGTCCCAAAATACTACCCTGAGGTACTCCCATTACTAAGACTATCTAGACGTCACTTTAAAGTTATTCCAAGCGCGCTACCTTTCAATTCTGTCTAGATATTGACTCACTTCTGGTTTAATACCTAGGTATAAGAATTGATCAATGAAATCTCGTAGCTCAAAATATAAATAGCGTATAGCCTGACCAGGAACATAAAAACCCTCGCCATGTTGCGGAAAACTAATGGTACTAATTTCTTTTAATGGCAACAGTAACTGAAAACTTCATTGATATGTCACCTTGCATGTCAGTCTATTGCTGTCAAAGTGTAAACAAACTTTATTTTAAATGTGCGCAATTGGTTTTATGAATTAAATTGCTAAAATATTTTTATAGTCGTGAAAGAAAAGTGGTTCACAATGTGTTAAAGTATTTGTTGAAGAGAAATATTAAGGGTTCGGACAATATTTTCATTGAATAATGTTTCCGACAAAGGTTGTCAAATTCAGTGGCGGGGCAAGACCTAAATTTGATGTGGGCAAGACAGATTTCGCGAGGCCTTGTTCTGTGGCGAACTGAATTAATTATTACCTAATAATAAAAAAAACAATGAACACTGACAAGTTTTCATTCATAAAAATACAAATTAGATTAATATTAAAAAAAATTTTTTTTGAGGCGCGACACAGTGGATCGAAATGGCAATAAAGTGGACATAGGGATTTTCCGGAAAAAAATCCTCATGTCCAATCGATAGGCCTTTACTCACTCATCACGACATGTCATATCACATTTTTCTCTAAACCTGATAATTTAGCTTAAAAAAAATAATTTGTGTTTTTTTTTGTATGAAACGAGACATAAAGTACTACATAAAGTACATAAATTAAATGTATGACGGATTGTACAGCGCCCCTAGCGGGAAACATTCAAAAACAAACATTTTCATACATTGTGAGCGCGTCAGACCCAGTTAATTGGAGATTCAAGCCAATGACTGTTTCTTCTTAAAATTTGGGGAGATGACTGTTTGTCCATCTTCCATTAAGATTAGTACAAAAATTCCGGAAAAACTTTTTTAACTTAACACTGTTTTCTTCTGTTAAATGTACCATTTTCTGCAAAAGGTGATGATAAAGTTCCTCACTGTCTATCAAAGGTTTTAACGTATTTCTTAAGACTACGAACAAATCTGTATTATTCACAATAGCTTCCATTATTGTAATTACATGTTAAAAACCGCATTTAAAGTTGAATTTTATTGGTGACGTTACACAGCCCGAACTAAATTTAAGACAAATAAACAATCCTTATCTGTTTTTTACCGACACCCCTGACCATTATCCGCTTATTCTCAAAGTAACTTCATTGTTGTTTTGAAGTCATTTGCTGATAGGAAAGAAAGGGTTTAACAGATTCTGAGAATAGATAACAATGTCACCTAACGATAAAATCACTTTCTAGTACCGTAATAGACTAAAAAGTACTAAAATAGAATTACAAGAAGAGTCAATTTTAATTTTTTTTCGGAATCGTTTAACAGGCCAAGTTGCGGTTTGGAGCAGCTGGAAATAGCTTAGAATATTAGGGTCAAATTGACTGACATGTTTATCGTATAGTACAGTCCACTATGAAAATTAGCTGTGGTTTGTTTCAACTACCTATTTTTAAAAAAATGTCACTTTCTAAGTGTTGAATTTTATGGGATTGGGAAAGAAGTACCGAGTTTGAAGCGTTCATGAGCAGACATTGCAGACAATATTCAAGTTCTGAATTTGATTATTGATGAATAACAAAATAAATCTACTAGCTCGATTGATGGTTTCATTTAATTTATTTAAATTAGGTTACCTATAATAATATTTTTTCGTTAATTTATGAAAATATCAAATTAGCCCGTAATCCTGAATCCTGATACATAAAGTTAGCCTATTAATTTAATACAGGTATGACTGTACTCAGTGTTGCACTATCAAATGCAATTGACGCGCCTCTATGCCAGGGTTTTTATGTTCCTGGTCAGGCTATATAATTTTTTTCGGTCCATATAAGGCTGGCTTCCGCACTTGCTCTCGCGCTGCGTCACCGCTTGCGCACCCACAGACGTGAATAATGCCCCGGCGACACTCGTTATGGGGTTTTAGATTATATTAATTATGGAGACCTCTAGAATGCTCGGCTTCTATCGACCAAAGATGTCCGTTTATGTACCTAGTTACCTATTTTTACATAAATTTTTAAACGGACGTTTTCGGAATCAACACAAATAGCTCGATTCCAATTCATATCGTTTAGAATATACACATCGTGCTGTTTCGGACTAAAAGCATTTTTTACAAATCATTTAAGGTTCTTACTGACTTTTGAATTGATCTTAATTAGGTATATCTTATCAGAATTTAACTAATTGACCTTTAGCTAGGTTTTCATTTTTCATCATCATCCGCTTTTAAAGATGAGTTGCTATCAATCCAATCATCTTTTTAATAATGTTAGGTTTCTGATAAGATCTTAATACAGGTTTAATGTAAGCTAAAACAGCACAGCATAACTAATTAAAAGTCAATTAGAGGTGAGGATAGAGCGAGGATCATACAACAATTTGTTTGTGAGTAATCAGTGTGTTTACAGTTTTAATGGGCGTGTGTGAGATGCAAGGGCTGGTCCAGTGTCACACTAAAAGTAGGTTTAGTAGGTCTACTTGCTATTCCTAATTTATTTATTCGCAAGAGTAACTGTTTATTCGTTATAGGTATTTCCAGTAATAACGCGGTAAATAAATTGAGGATCAATGAGCTTTTTTACTGAGCTTCGCAATTTTCTCGTACTTATTTAGCGGAACTCCTCAAAAAGAATCAGTGAACTAGTTCACCAGGGTTTTATCGGTCGGTAGTTAACAGTTTTTCAATAACCCCTCGGTAAGCTAAATATGTTTGTGTTCCGAACCCGCGTTCCTCAGATCCCGATTCGACCAGTCCGTCACCATTAGGCTGTTGTCGCTATCACTGAACCCACTGGTAGTAATGTCGGTTGTGGCTTACGAATCTGTCAACTTCCTCCTTATTACTATACTGCAAACAAACACTTGACGCCGCGTGACTAATTTTAAACTAATATGGCAACTGATTCATAAATAAAGATGGCCTATACATTAACCGTCTAGTTTCCATATCCAAATTATTTCCATGTTTATTATGACAGGTAATTTATGACCGAATCTTCCTCGACAATAGTCATAAATCTAAATAGGTAAAACAACATTGTAGTGTTACGTTGTTTGTTTAGACATAATGTGTTTATCGTTATAAAAAGTAATTGCTCATTCATGACATTCATGTTCTTACCCGGAAAAACATTTCCGTTGAAAAATGTTTTTTTACTAATTTAATTTTCAGCTAAACCTTTTAACGGCTTTGAAAGTAATCAAGTATTTAACCTTACAATGGTAAAATAATATCACGCTGGATATTGCTTGTGAATATGGCACTCGATGATCCATGTATAAATACCGATTTTATAATCTTCAGAAACAAATAAAGTTCATTCGCATTAAATAATAAGTTACCCAATATCTAATCCTGGTATCAGCGAAATAAATTATACATAACTGTTTAAATTCACATCACCCATTTGGCTGTCACAAAAACATTTATATCAATGGTTTTGAAGACGTTTCCTTATACGGATCGTGATTCATTCGGTTAATTGTTTTTTTCTATATCGGCGCGGTTCAAGGCCGCCTGGCGCGGGAGGTTAATTGAAATAACGCATTCACTTATTATTTAAAGCTTTTTGCAGATATCAATGCCTTAATGAGATCACTGTGTTAAATTAGTATTGAATTGCTTTAATATTATTTTATTCTGTGATTTTAGAAGCTGTCAGAGCTCGCGAGATTTTTCTTTACTATGATTTGTGTCAAACTGTATGCCTTTTTTATTGGCAACATTTTATTTTATTTGGTACTAGCTCTCCTTCGCCCGCGTGGAATATTGTCTGTCACAGAAAAACTATCGCGCGCGTCCCTGTTTCAAAAACCGAGATAAAAACTATCCTATGTCCTTTCCCGGAACTCAAACTATCTTTATGCCAAATTTCATCAAAATTGGTTCAGTGGTTTAGGAGTGAAAGAGAGACAGACAGACAGATAGAGTTACTTTCGCATTTATAATATTAGTATAGATAATATACCAAAGTTATTTTGCTTTATATGTATCAGGATAAGTACTTACTAATAAACATTTTATCATTGTTTACAGCTTAAATTATCATAATCTAAAGATAAATATAAACTCCTAAAAACTTGCGTAGTTTCAACATAATCCGGTGATAACATTTCGTATCTTCGAGATATCACAATTTGAACTATTTTTGTTATTTATTGTAGCTATGTTTTAATCTACTTGTATTATTTGTAATTGATAAAGCATTATAATATTGATAAATGTTCGAAAAAACTGAGTTTGAAAATGATCTATTGCATAACCCTCTAAAATTGTAACTTATTTCATTAATTTATTTATTTTCTTTATGAGGAAAACATACAGCTTATATTATGATACATGTAGAATAAAAAAAAATCCCTGTGTAAAAGTAAGTAGCTGTCCTTTAATACCTGAGCTAATCAATTTAGGTGCTATAGTGACAAGAACGATTCGTGCCAGCAAAACGTTTTTATTAGGCGATCAAATCGGTACAAGGCGATTTTATTGGGCCATCATTAGGTGTCGAGCCCGCGTGGGTCGACATCAGATGTTTGCCGCCGCGATCACCCTATTGGGATTCGGTCTGATGATGTCACTGACCGTGTTTCCCATGGCGTTAGTCATAGTAATTATCTACCTTCGAACTTTAGATTTATTGGTCCTTTTGTCAAGACCATTGCCCCAGGAAAGGAAAATTTCGTTAAGTAATGTGGACGTATCAGCTCAACAGGTCATCAATTACATCACAATTACAATTACATCACATCACATCACATCTCCTTAATTAGAGAGCAAGAAAAATACTGAATTTATCTTATTACAATGTAGTTAATTGTGCTTAAATTCTTACATAGAGTTATCAAAAAATCTACGGCGTACTAATTAGTTCTTCTACAGTTCCTCACATAATCAAAAACAAATTGGACGACTTGGTTCCTAAACTGTGATGCCCTATACGTCCACTGCCGTGATGAGCTCCCCGTAGTCTACGCATGCTGTAAAGCTGTTGGAAGCATGGCACATTGACTACGAACCGGTGTGCAACGGAGGGTATTCTCATTAGTAATAGACTCGCTGCAGCCGTGGCAACAAAGATTCTAAGCATGGCATGCTTGCATATCACGCACCGATGTGCTACGGATATATGCAGCCGAGACGATGCAAGTTGTATTTTTGCGCGAAGCATGCCATGCTTGCAATGCACGCACCTATGTGTTACTATTGCTAAGTATACTGGAAAAATCAGGTTGTGGTTTTTCGCGAAGCATGTCATGCCTGCAATGCACATGGACATACCCAGCTTCTACCCTAGGGGTGGGCAAGTCAGATTTTTACTTAGCTCCTCCTGGCAATGCCAGTCTGGTGCTAAGTATACTGAGTGTACTCACGTCAGTGATGGGTTCCCCGCAGCCGTGGCAGCGCGGGCTATGGTGCTGCGCGAAGCACGACACGCAGTGCACGCCGCCGTCGTGCTGGTGGAACTTGGCGCCGTCGATGGGCTTGCGGCACGTGTTGCACGTGAAGTGCTCGGGGTGCCACTTCTTGTCCAGGGCCTTTACGATCTGGAACAAATAGCAGAAGGTTATAGGTCGTGTCAGCGAAAGATTGACTGGAGATGCTCGCACACTCACCGCGGGCGCCCGTCGCACAGTCGTGACAGCAATACAGTGTGTCCGGGCTTGTAGTGATCAAACTTTAAGGGCGTAATCTATGGACAATTTTATCGATGAAAATACTTCAAATTTGGGGCTTGACCCATTTTTCGCAAAATTACGAGGATTTAAGTTTTTAATTTTTAGTTTTCACCTCTTCCTTCAAAAACAAGTGAAAGCGTGGGTAGCTTAACACTAATAAGCAAAAAATTTATATCATGCGATAGCCAATAAAATTATCTATTAGCAGAAGTAGAAAACAGATACAAGTTTCATACATTTTAAGGGAGTAAGAATGGATTTAATTAGAAAAACACATGACTTTTTTCACTTCTTTTTCAGTTATTTTCCAACACAAGAAAAACCAGGTCGTTAAGGTATGTTTTATTTGCATTGTATTATTAGTATTTGAGCTATTCTACAAAACGAATGTAAATTTATTAGTCTACGTCTATTAGTTTCGACGTAATTGTTGAACAAAGATACCCCTTCCCAGCGGTTTCCATAGTAATCGGAATAGGTTGTGTGATTCTTTCAGGCAGTGCATTTTCGCATGTCGCGTGCGCTATGGAAACCGCTGGGAAGGGGTATCTTTGTTCAACAATTACGTCGAAACTAATAGACGTAGACTAATAAATTTACATTCGTTTTGTAGAATAGCTCAAATACTAATAATACAATGCAAATAAAACATACCTTAACGACCTGGTTTTTCTTGTGTTGGAAAATAACTGAAAAAGAAGTGAAAAAAGTCATGTTTTTTTCTAATTAAATTCATTCTTACTCCCTTAAAATGTATGAAACTTGTATCTGTTTTCTACTTCTGCTAATAGATAATTTTATTGGCTATCGCATGATATAAAATTTTTGCTTATTAGTGTTAAGCTACCCACGCTTTCACTTGTTTTTGAAGGAAGAGGTGAAAACTAAAAATTAAAAACTTAAATCCTCGTAATTTTGCGAGAAATGGGTCAAGCCCCAAATTTGAAGTATTTTCATCGATAAAATTGTCCATAGATTACGCCCTTAAAGTTTGATCACTACAAGCCCGGACACACTGTATAATTACGCGCGAGCGATAAGGATGGGTAGCTTGGGGTCATTGGACAAAATTCTACGTGCTCACGGACCAGGCTTTAGTATGAAACAAAGTCGCTGTCTGTCTGCTTAGATCTTTAAATTACGCAACAGATTTTAATGCAGTTTTCACCAATAAAGTGATTCAATGGGAAGGTTTATGTATGAGACCTACATAACAGCGGTGTTGTAGGGGATCGCTAGTAGTCTATGATTCTTGAATACACGATTCGATATCTTGAAACATTGCTTACTCTGTTATGCTCGCAATTCCAAATACTGATGATTGTTATTGTTAAATAGTGAAGCTATTTTATTTGGATAGCTGATGAAATAGTTCATAACTGATTGGACTAGAATGCCAACCGTATTCACATCAATCAAGCTTAGCGTCTTCATCGATGATTGATGGATGTTTTTGCAAAGATCTTTATGCTCAAAAAGTTGTAGGTACTTGTTAACATTCCGCTCTGATTGACATATCAACTCCACAAATTGATTGCTACCTACTGCAGATTTAACGACAACAACATTCATGGATGTTATGAATCACTAAACGAGACGAAAACAGCATTAAGTAATTGTAATGTTTTTGTCTGGAAATATTCCGATCACTTTTTGCACCAGTGTCAATTTAAAATTTTCGTAGATTTTTTTGTTGTTTAGCTACATTTATAAATTTTCCGTCCACTAATAAATCTGAGTTTAGTTTGTATGGTTTTAAAAGTATTTGTCTTAAAACACCGTCAAGCCACTTATGTGGTCCATAAAAGTGTGGTGTAGAATGTCCTCTCGCATGTGAGAACATGCCCATCTAAGCTGTACCCTTGCGTTCCTTGAGCGGTGGCCATAAGGCTGCACTACGATTCAATTTAGTTAGCAAAGTATTACAAAATTATGAGTAGAAATAAACTTTTATATTTTTGGGGAATCAGCCCATGCTCGGTGAACTTCCATGGTGGTTAGGCCCTTCTATATGTCAATAAACTGCATAGTTCTTGGTATATGAACTCAATAATGTGAAGAGCCAACTTCAAAAGATAAGGCATTGAGTACTAATTTACTGCCCACGTTTACATTACAGTACTTGTAATAAATGTTTTTTTTTATCACCAAGAAAAAACATGGCACTTAAAAATAACTGCGAAGTTAGCTAGGTACTTCAATAATTCCAGTTACATTAATGTCGGAACCGCATTAGCCGCAAACGTGCACTTAAGTATCACCGTAATGGAAGGCACGCGATTAAAATCTGACTGGTACGCGCTTTAGCACCTCGCCAGTTATAGGAGTGACATACGCAGTGGTAGTAAGCTCGATACACCAGAAGTGCTAAGGCTAAGATGGTCTATGTTTGGTGCTTTTGCAGTGCCGGACTACCCATAAGCAAATTAAGCAATGTCTTAGGGTATCACGGAGTCTTAGGCTGGCCGCTGCGCACGGCTAATCTGTATGAACTTCAAGGTAGCGTTTTAGAGTAATGCGGTCCGGAGGAACCGCTCTGTTCCCTAGCAGTTCATACAGATCGGCTGTGCGGAGCGATCCGCACTGACAGTCCGCGTGACACTAAAACCAGCCTTAATCCGACACTGCTTTTGGGAATAGTTATAAAACCTATTTGTAAAAGAAAATTGCTATAGCTGAGCGGAACGACTATTAAATTATACACTACAATAATGCTGCGGAATGAAACTGAATGACTTAAATTAAAACATCCCGTTTGACAACTAGAAACGTCTTGGCAGCATTGGTCATGCTCGCAAAGTATCAGTAGAGTCATGCTCGCAGCGATTAAGACACCGCCTTCACCGATGCCCATAAAATTAAATCACACTAATTATCCAATAGCTAACTAGTGTTTTTCGTCGCTATAATATCTTGCTAGACAATGTCCCAATTGGCACTAGCCTAGGTCTCAAGAAATTTTCTGATATAGGACTTATGGTATACGTTACACTGCCACAAAGCATGTCAAACTATATCTGCCAATTAGCACACCGCTTCTAGCCATGGTAGACACCCAGTGGTGCGACCTTCGCCTAAAGCAGCTACGCTACCTAATACCGCGTTGAAAGCCGTCGACATATGGTCAGTGTCAAGGCGAGGAGGATTCCGAGCGATACAACGGCAGACTGGTTGTCTATGGCTCCTGCCATCGGTTGAGTCTGTGGAAATTTAGACAGTGCACTACCGACTGTTAATTTATTTGCCACATAATATGCACAAAGAGATGTTAAACTTATTATGCACTCGTGACCAAATATCGCTACTGGCAATCACGTACAGATTACTTTGTTTTTCATTTCTTAAAATAAACGTCCTATCCTGTGACTCTACAATTTGGGTTAATACATTTGTTTGGCCTAGCAATGTAGTATCACGTGGTTGGCTCGAGATGTTGACTTTATTTGCAATAAAGGTCAGTGAGTATTGGATGCAAGTGACCTTTTGTTATTTGGCGTAAACGTGCAGTCCAAACTCACGTGCAATTTGGTGTAATCTTGCCCTAATTATAATTGTCCAAACATTGGAAAATATCGGTCGTTGCTGTCATCATGTCGTCAACATAACATATTTTAGAGAACTTAACGTGCTGCGTGTTAAATTAATTGTGCTCTTATATTCTTGATTTAATTAAATTTATATTCCCACTGCATAGTGCATAGCACTATACTACTGAATATTATTATGAGTTCTATTATTATGCATATCAATGTATGGTTTGCAGTATTTTCCACTGCAGTTACATACTTTCATTAATGGAGATAAGGCTTGGATATCGATAAGTTGTGCACTCGGCACTGCTGACTCGTAATCACACTTATCGCTTGCAAATATACTTATCGAATAACTAGAAAAAGAACTCGATGTCACTTACTAGGTCATCTAATTACAAATAAGTGTTAAAGACGTGTGCCATATTTACTTTAAACACATACATCAGAAAGTACAAAATCTTCTTTACAATACTTTCGTATTCAAGTCTTTGATTAGTTAAGTTTCTATTGATTAGGTATACTTTGAAGCTTTAGTTCAGAATACGAGCTTTTAGACTCATAAAACAATTGTGAGATTCACGATGTTTTGAAAGCACTCTACATAAAATAACTTAATAAGAAACGACTTTATATTCTCTTTTCTTTCCACTTATTACGTTTCGTATCAGGAAATCATACTACATTATTCACCTACAACTTCCAATTCAAAACTTGTTATACAATTTAACACATATCAATACACAGACACGCCTCCGCATTTATTTACATACATTTCTAAGTTCATATTAATATCAGTAGATAGGCTATATGCGGCGATGACGCGGATTTTATCTAAGGTTAGTAACATGTTTGTATGTTGGTCGCTGCACTAGCGCATTGACCCGGTTCTGTTTGACCGATAAGTTTTTGATTTTATGAGGTCGAGGGCGGAGTTAATTCCTTCAGGCATTTTGTCCTTTTTCAAGGTTTGGTCGGCTATTGACTTTGTATGTCGGCGTTGTTTGTTAATTTACTAATTGGTATGTTTCATCACTTCATTTTCTCTGTCTGCCAGTGCTTGTTATTTTTTCCTCTATAGTTTGCTTCATGCAAATTGTCAATCTGTAGATACAGGCTACAGAAGTTGCAGCAGTTGGAATAAGAATTGGAAATGGTTTAGTGACAAAGCTGTGTGTTTGTGTATTTGAATCTTATTGGTAGAGACTTACCCTGCCTGCAATGACAGCATTGCAGCTGTTGCAGATAGCTGGTCCGTCGTTGGTAGACTGTAACAAACGAAAAATATTTTGTGAATATAAAACTTTTTCACTATTACTATCAGTATATCAGTAGTAGTATCCTTTTCGTGTAAGCCATTATAAACCAGCGTTTACCGAGCTGGTTTTGAAAAAATACATTGATTAGTTCTAGTTGTAAACGGTCATCTCCAGAAACTGTATTCGCCTGAACATTACCACCTACGTCTATTATGTATTGCGTAACCATACAACGTAACTTTACGCCCACCTGTAGCAGCCATCCAGAAACTATCCAGATTGGTCTGAAAACGGTAACGAGGCACTAAAATGTTTTGTTAGCATTTTCCATGTTACAGGTATCTGATAATCTGACTGTTCAGGCTTTTTATAGCGTATCTGGATACCCCATATTTGAGGCGTTTTTTTTTTTCATTATTTCAATAGTGACATTCTAAATACGATCGAACCATCTGCACGATGGTTTTAGGGAGATCTTTACCTAAAACTTATTTTATTTGTCGGGAATACAAATGTTTTCAAAAGTAATAAAGGAGGCGAATGCGTGTGACTGGGTAATTGTGAGTGGATGAATTCCTGAAGACAAGTTCTTGCGACGAAATTTATCGTTTGTACCTTGTCGTGATGTCATACCACAATCGGATGGCTATCGCTTATCGATGTTCGTTTTGCTGAAATTGAAGGTCAAAGCATATCGATTAGATTACGATGCTTTGGGCGTTGTATTGTTATTCACATCATGGCTTCTGGAAATATGCGATAAGGTATTGCCACCATGCTGCTACTTGAACATATACACATGAATGTTTGGAAATGATTGGTGGCTATTCTTGCCATCAAAAGTTATTCCACAATGACGGTCAACAGTGCACGTAGCTTGAAATAAATAAATGGTGAATCACGATGTGGTCACATCACCACAAGTCAAAGTTTCCGTGTCGCATATTTGTGTCGTCCTTGGAGGACAGAAGCGTGCCTGTCGACGCGCAGGCCGCGAAGGCACAGAATACATGCGAAGGAAAGCGCGCGCGCAACTGTGCCGCACAGCACACTCATATTCGGAAGTGACGAGCTGGGACGAACAATGGAACGCACGCGGCGAATACCTACCACATGGTGGCAAGTCATGAGCTATTGCGTTATTTTAAGCGTTTATAAATCTTAACGCTATTATGATAGTTTATTAAAATCTGACTAGCAATAGATGCAATACACTGGGGAGATAATTTCACTTGCTTTAAGGCTAAAATTGTATCCCAACTAATATTATAAATGCGAAAGTAACTCTGTCTGTCTGTCTGTTACGCTTTCCCGCTTAAACCTCGCAACCGATTTTGATGAAATTTGGCATAGAGATAGTTTGAGTCCCGGGAAAGAACATAGGATAGTTTTTATCCCGGTTTTTGAAACAGGGACGCGCGCGATAAAGTTTTTCTGTGACAGACAAAATTCCACGCGGGCGAAGCCGCGGGCGGAAAGCTAGTTTAATATAATTTCTTCATCATTTTTAAAGTAATGTGCAATGTAAAACCTCAAGTAATTAATTCGAAAATTATAATTAATTATTTAAACTTTCCCATGAGAAAACTTTGATTTGGAAACAATAATGTAGAGTTTGACACCCAAAGTCAAAATAAATACTAAAGTTGGTTTCTTCAATCCAGACAAATTAGGGAAATTGTAGCAGGAGCTAATAAAATTTCTTTGCCCGCTACCGCTACCATTCATAACTTGTTACTATCATACACATGGGTCGGATGTAGGGCGCACACAAGGTCAAGGATTTCAAGGCTAATTGATTTGCGTTTTTTGGCGACGGCACTCGGTCGAAAGGATGCGCGCACGTCGCCCCATCGCCTCTGTCGATCGCTGGCATAATAGGCTTCTATTGTCGGACACTTCAAAGTATGTATGTACTTTATAGGATCTTGTTTTTGGCACGTACCGAACTTTTGTTGGAAGGAAGCTTAATAATCTTGATATTATCGCCTATTTTTCATACAATACAATACATCTAAAAAAATTCGAGGTGAATCACGTTCAAAGAAGTTGTCCAAGTAATAAGAGTTGCAATGAATTTGTTAAGTAAATGAATCCACTGCCTATTATGGCAATAATTTAACTAGCACGAAGTTGCAATACCTTATTTACTTTCCTCAATTTGTATGTTATGTACGACAAGTTTCTTCAACAGAACTACTATTTTAATATCAATGGATAATTAATTTTTTACGCTACAAATGAATAAGTAGGTACCGAGTTCCTTTGTAAAATTATTTCTTGACCCCTACGTGAGAAAAGGCAATGTTGATTCATCGTTTGTAAACAACAAAAAAACAACGTGGAAATCTACCTGAGCGTGGAATGAGGTTTGATACAGATTTAATTTAACCTGAGCCAGTTTATAGTTCAAATTCAGTTCATAATAAAGGATTTAAAAATGAGGAGAGAGTAGAAATAGTTCAACGCTGTTATTTTAAGCGTCCGTAACACTGAAAATGTAGTGTTTCTAAATTTAATTTGAAATGTTACAGTTTTGTCCGCTAATGATGAGTAAGATCAGTTGCTAAATATAACCACTTGTTCATACTTTCAGTTTCGTTGTTTTACTAATCATTGCCAAAACGAACTTTCACATGTTTCTGAGTATTAATAGGTAAATCGAAATTACCTATGATGTGATTAATTTTCCTGAAAACCAAGAGTGTTTATTATACATAGCTATTTGCGTACATGTTAGTACATGCTTTTATCATGAAAGTATTGCTGATAAAACTACAGGAAAATAATCAACAACTATTGAAATTAACTAATTATTATATTTACAATTAATTCATACATATATATAATGAATGGAATTACTGTGTTTTTTAAACATGCACGTACGCGAATTTGCAAGATATAAATTTCCAAAGCGCAGTTAGAGCCGTCGCAGTGTTTCGTCAGTTACTTTGAGGGCTTCTCCATTATCCCTGATATCATGATCGTCAGCGACAGACCTGACCTCCGCTGCAGCCCTGCACCCGGCCTCGTACCCCGAAACTGAAATAGGTCGTGTGGGCGGCATTGTGATCACGTCTCCAGTTAATACCATCGTTAACAGCCACTTTACTGTCCTCTTCAGTTTATAATGCATTCGCTCGGTTTGTTCTGTCTTTGGAAGTTTTGTGAATCTTAGATTAAATATTGTATTTCTATTTTTATCTTTTGACATTCAACTATTATGCAAATCACCGTTCGTTCACCGCCAGATTTAACGCCATAAATCTTTAAAATATGAATGTTTAATTCTTCTTGTATGCCTTCTACATTGCTTATTTTTATTTATTGATTCCTTCATATTCCCCTTTTATTGATTTTAAAATCTGCATTAAATTCTAAAGTTAGTCCACTTACGTTCGCATCAATCAAGTTTGCGAGTACGAATGTTTATGACTTGCCGAGAGACGTTTTATATCTTCGCGGGATAACTTCGCTCCTTGCGTGGCCCTTACTATTATTAGTTGGAAACCCTGATTCACGCGCGCGATGAGTTACAATAAACTCCGCGGGTTACGCGTGAGCTTCTTCATAAATATACATTCGATTCCGCGATTCAGATAATAAAGTATCGTCCACCCACTCATTCGCGGCCGCACTATCGCCCGTCTGTTTTATTTTCTTAGCATATTCATCCCCTCGTGATAAATCGTCAGGTGTACCGTCTCTGCCAATGTTATCTCGGTGACTAAGTGGTACGTGAGCAACAATACGCTTTTCCATGCAAAAATCACGATCCGTATTTTCGTTGCGTTATAATTCTGGCGATTTTCGTGTCGTGTGTATCGCGTTAGACTGGCGTTTCGGAAATAGATGCTTTATGCGACATTATAATAGGTTTATTGCTCGGTGTAAAACTTGGTTTATCAGTATCATCCAAGACAATCGCGTGGAGGCGGCAAACCTTTTGTTGTTACGAGGCAAATGTTGTTTTTGAGAACTAACGTAGATAGCAAAAATGTAGGCCAAATTATATGGATGGTTAACGTATAAAGACCAAATTGCATTACGCATACCTAATTGTTATCACTGTTTTTATTATTATCTATGGAGTATGGAGTTGCTTCATATGATTTTATCATTGTCTAAATTTCCCCTAAATCAATGACGTTACTACAAAGTAATTTATTATTATCAAAGGGATTGATTGTAGTTTTCCGAAACGTTATATAGATACGTCGACTACTTAACGTTATCAAGGGTATTGCGCCAAATAAATGTTACATTAACGGAAACGAGTTTTCAGAATTGTGACCTCTTAAAGTTCACAAGCGCCATTTTTGGTCACGCAGAGTAAAGTTCAGTTACGTTACGAAATGCAACGAAAACTTAATACAGATGATCTCCGGTCGTACTGGAACTATTCCAAAATTCCTTGGAATTAACAATGTTAGTGGAACACCTACGGTTTGTATTCAACATTATAATTCAATTAAAAGAAGTTGTTACGGCCCCCTCAATAGAAGAAGTACAATAGTACTATCCAACGTTGCATTAATTGATACAATCACAGAGAATTGATTCCGCTACTTCTCCTCGTCAGCCTTTATGGTGGTGAAAGCTTTTATCCTTCCACTATAATCAGTTTTAGTCAGTTTCATTTGTGATTACCCCGTTTTCTTAGTTTATTGGATCGGAAGTTTTGTTTATCATGACCACATTATTGGATGTTCATTGTTGTCAATAGTTACAGAGTTGGATTTCTATCCAATATAACACTTCATAGTGGTTTGCGAATTTTATTAGCTGTTCGATAGCTTCCAGATGCAAATCCAAGTACTATGCAGCGCGCATGTCTCTTGTGTTATTGACCAATTATGAACTCTACATCGAGGTGACAGGGCTCAATGTAAATAGAGACTTCGTTGGTGGTCACATCCATGAATAGGTTAGCATAGATCAGTGTTTGACACTACAAAATCCTCTTGTTCAATTGCGTGTTACGGTAACACGCAATTAGAGGTAAAACTGTTACCACTCTTTCTACTATGATCTTAGTAACATACATAGGTTAGGTACTGTCCTCATTCGTGTTACATGTTGTTTATATGTCGTGTCAGAATATAAATCGGCTATATCCAGAGGCATTTACCTGCGATATAAATCAGCAGCACCATATCATTCTCTTGAGTTGTTACAAACATATTAACCCATTTTCCTTGAAATGTCGTGTGTTTATGTTTGATGGTGCTAATATTTTATCTCTCGACAGAAGTATCTTATTCATCGTTTGTATTTTTGTTTTTATTATAATCGTTGTTTTTAAACATTAATGAATTTGGTTACATAAAAGGTTGCTATGAATTTTTATTTATCACAAAATTTTCTCCAACATCAGAATCGTCCTATGTAATATAAAGCTTTTCAATATCATGCTAAGCTTAATAATGTAGCGTCTCATCTATTGGTCTTGGTTAGACGCATCCATCCCATCCAGAGTACACTTAGCCTACACATTCCAGTTGCGTGATGACAATCACACGCGAGCGTCAATAAACTTGGGCTCTGCTCTCGGAACCACTGAATCACAATTAGCCGGCTGTTACAAATTAGTCCACAATTTTATCGGTTTCCTTATGCACTCGCGCGCAGCCTAACAAAGTTCCAAGTTTATGGGTTGAGGTAGACTCAGTAGACTGTAGGATTATTACAGCTAGAAATAGTTTTTAAGTTATGAGTAATAAAATAGCGTGTAGTTATACCTATACAGGGTGTATTACGTGATCAAACCTTACATCCTTAAATGAGAAGGATATTCGCAGAAGAAGAGTCAAAAACGTACTTAGTAGTCAAACTTTTGCATACCTTAGCTACTTAAATCACCATAAGTAATTTCAACATGACTTGTAAAACTGGTATTTTTGGAGCAAGATTTGTATGCTTGCACTGACATAACAGACGCTAAATAGACTTTTTTTCGCAATTCTGAAATTGTTGAAACTGACATTTTATGAATGAATTTTTATACCAGATAAATGTTTATTAAAATCTTGTCATGTATACCTAGTAAACAGATGTTTGTCCCTGCATACAGTCATTATGCAAATGTTACATGATATAACGCCAAATAAGTGGGCAATAGCCGCTGATTGATGCCGAGCTGTTAGCCGCCGTCTGCGCATGCTAATGTGCATGTAGTGCACTTTAATGGGCGCCATGTTCGATGTGCACAAATCTGTGGGTTTAGTGTTGGCCATTGTTTCAGAATAGGAGTAGCTTAATTGAATTTACTACATACAACTAAAATCAGGCTTCCCTGATAGTGTCTCGAAAATAATATGTATGAGAGAAAATTTAGGCATTAGGAGAAAACGAGGGGCTGAGGTGTACTGTTGTCCTCATCATTAAATAGTTAGTATACGTATATCAAATCATATTTTACGATGATTGAGCTTTTCGTGAAAATAATGTTTTTTTTTATGCTAAAGGATAGTTCTGGAAAGTCTCCAGGCTCTATGATTTGCGTATTAAATATTTTGCTTGCTTAATCATTGCCTATTAACCTCATCAATTTGCAAATGCAACAAACTTTATATTCAACTCGCGCACTCAATCAAAAGGACATTGAGATGTTATGCAAATAAGTCGCTTGATTCAACGGGCAATAAAACCCGACTTGTGCGTAAGAACTTAATGAAATGGGTGCAACAACCATCAAGTACGTGATGATGTCACGGTAGTTTTATAATTATTTATTGTGGCTTGTCAAGTTGGCAACAGTAAATTCATATTTGGATAATCTTCCGGGCGGCTGACACACCTCGCGTGGGTTTGCTCTGACACCTGACATGTGACGCCAATTTGGTCGATTGCCTTTACATGTCCGCTCCGAAAGCTTTAGAATGGTCGCTAGGATCTCCTTAATCCTACAGTTGAGTGGTTTAACTAATTAATGTCAAATCGCATCAATTTGCCTGGTTAAACAAATAGACGTTGCTTGTTAGATTTATAATTGCGGCTAATTTATTGTTGTTTTGAAATTGTGAAAAACGTGAAGTGAAATAATACCGCTGAAGTGTCTGTGACTGAGTGTGCTCGGTTGACCGAGTTCAATGAGATCACCGCGTATTATTAAATAACCTAATACACTTAGTTTAAATATGTGCCCAGCTGATTTACCAATTTTCTGTTTGAATCAATTACGAGGAAATATCCCAATATCGCAAAACAGTTTAATGATCGGAGGAAATTTACATGTCACGGTTTGAAATTAGTATTGTGGTGTAGTTAACCATGAACTTGGTAATGGGCGGAGCTGATTCACGCTTATCAATAAGATCCATACGAATACGTCGCTAGCACCTACGTGAAATGTATCATGTGAACAGTTAACAATATGATTCAGATATTTATCTAACAACGCGGACTTATAGTGCAGGATATGAGCACTAAATAGGTATCAGTACTAGTAGATATCAGAATCTACCTACCTGTAAACAATGTAATTATCAATTTCGACATGACTTATGATCGTGATTAGTTCATTCCGTTTCAAACATACGCAACTTTGTCAAATGAAAATCAGAATCTCTCTTCCTAATTCACTCGAGCTAAAATATAATGTTATTTAATCAAACAAATTCATTTCAGGCAGGACATCTTTGACCGTTAAAAAAAATCAGTAATCTAGATTTCGTTTGTTTGTTTCTGAAAATAACAAATGCGCCAAATAATTTTAACTCTACGAAACATCTCCATGGAAACCAGCCGTCTTGCTGCATGTATTTTATATTTTGGCACAATGTTTTGTTTTTACACCGGTGTTTAGCGATATAAGCAGACTTTCAACGATTCAACCTAGATTCATTAATTTTTCACGAGAAGCTATCATTTATAACGTCGAAGACAGACTGGGGACATAGTAGAGCTGGAACGTGAAATTAGTTTTAATGTACAGATAATATTTTACTTTCTTTGAATTCAAGGCTCATTCTACATGTAGAAATACTTTAGTTTCCGGTACAAATGCAATATTTTGTAATTTCCAACTGGGTTTTAGCCGTGGTTAGCGGTTAGGCAAAGCCCAGCCACTTTGCCGATTTGAGCGCTTACGACGTTCTTGTTGTAAGAAGTTTTTTAGTTTCCATAATTATAATTTCATTAACTTCATAATTCTACAGAAAATTCATTTACAATAGTTTGTTTAGTATAGTGATCGTGAACAAGAAAAACTACGAAAGAAAATGTTCAGTCTCACCGCGACGAGTGGATGGCATTGCTGTGACTTATCCAGTGCTCTCGGATTATAAACACCACTTATTTATAAACCACTGTTTCCAACTATTATTGTTATTGCCCTCGCAAATTTTACGGACGACTTTATGCTCGGGGAACAAATCATGTGGAAGAACACACGTCCCAGTGCCAGCTCGCACAAGATTTTGGGGAATGAATCTTACGAAAGCATTCGGAATGTGAAGAATATTAAAAACTATATTTTTCCTATTAAATGATGTTAGTAACACTAGCTCCAGCTTTTGGTTGCAGTTAAGTTTTGATACATAATTTGATTTATTTTTATTTTCTTCATGAAATAGCTATTTATTATTGGTACTACAACTTGCTTGGTTTTTTCTTTTAATTTTTCACGAAACATAAACAACAATTAAAACATGAATTAAAATATTCGTTGTTTACCAAATCACAGTACATAAGTGTTCACAAAAATTACACAAATTCGCTCACCTACCTAAAATTAAAACAATGTTAACTTTACCTCAAAAACCGCATCAGATTCCAGCACAATACGTAACACAGAAAACGGTCTCCGCGATTAAAGAGAGGATCTAAAAATACCGGGTGCAGAATAGTTTATAAACAAACTCACCATGTTTCGCGGCCGGCGGCTGTGATCGAGTGACGCGTGCGCACAGGGAGGTGTCTCGAAGGCGACTGCCGAGCGCTCGGAGGACTCGCCGAGCCGCGTGGTGAGCGAGGATACCAGCTTTGAGGTAAAGGGACGAAGATGGGAGAGTCCTGGAAAAAGCAGCGGATTTTTTTGAGAAAATGGAGGAAATGAACTCCAAGGAATGCCTTATTGCTGCTGGTTGCTGCTGGACTTCCATGTCCTCTTATACGATACTAATGGGGTTCCTATGAACTTTAACGTTTTGTAAGACGTTCGTAACGTGGTTTTGGTATGAACCCATTTACAAAAAAATACGTGGAGCGAACTTTCAATGCTTGTCTCCTCTAGTAAATCTGGATGAGCAGCATCCCCGGCAGTAATACAAAATAGTTTTAATAAATATGTTACGGTTAATGTGATAAATTGAAAATTATTAATAATAACCGGTTATTATGAATAATTCCCGACATTCGCGGTGAAAGTGATAAATTAATCACATTTAACAGTGATTATTTAATAATTCAACCTTAGTACTAACAAATTTCATAAAAGAGAACAACATCTTGTGTACGTGTTTGTGTACAGCCAAACTTTTGAACGTTTTGATATCTTAAATTAATATAATTTGGCATAATGAGTTTGGAATGTTTCTTGCATAATATTACTTTTCCATGATGCCTATAACATAATGTTTTGATTTAAAGTGAAAAATAGGTTAAGGTGCGGCGGGGGTGGCCCTTGGGCCACCCCTAAGCCACCTATTTAGTTTTATACACACATAAATGACCTCATATTAATCACATTTACCAAATCATGCGGTAATTATTCATAATAACCGGCGATTATACATAATTTTCACATTTATCACTTTGACCGTAACAAATATATTTCTTGAGAATTTCCCTGAAAATATACAGATAATGAAACGTATTTGAATAGATCACTTGTCTTGTTTACAGGATTTTTATTTTTCAATGGGTAAAACGAGCTGAAAGCTAGCAAGACCGGTGCGGACCGGCGTTATCGCGGTGACGTAACCGATGCATTGGCGGCGCGGGACCCGCCGCGGCCTTGGGCGCGTGTTTGTTTACCTTAGGGATACTTGCCTGCGTGTTACGGGCGCTGTTTACCCCGTGGACATTTCTGTTGATTGGTACATGGAGAAAGGTGTGTCCTGACTATATTTGATGTTGATTTAGGGTGCAATAACTCATTAACCACTTGAGGGTAGTTTTGTTTCCTAATCAAGTAACGACGTCGTTGACGCCTACCTTTTTAAATTGTCACTGCCTCCTTCTGACGGCAATAGACTATTTCTATGAATCATTTTGATAAGTGAAAGGAACTCGATAAGTAAGAAGGATTTTGGCTCTACCAGTACAGATCTTTATACCTGTGACGTCACTTACTATACGAGTTATCTGGCTTTATAGCGCTTCCTACTCGGCAAATACCTAATGATGCAAGTGTCACTCTCGCTACGACACAATTTCTTAGCTGCTAAAGACTTTTCCAATAAATATCTACATTTGAAGTATGTTAATTAGATAACTGAGTCTTTGTGAAGACCGCACTTTATTGGCCCATGAAATGATCTCAATTCTCGATCAACGGTCACGAGACTGACCCTCAGCGTTATGGAGCACGACTCTGGGTATGGGAAAGTTCCGCCATTTCATGGGACGGTTGTTGGGTTTGACTTAAATGGTGAAAGCATGTTTCCATGGCGCTTCCTTCTTGTCATCCTTACCTACTTATGGATACTACTTCAAATGCGGACAAATAATAGAGTCTATAAACACAAAACTGAAGATTAATACTGATGTTTAAAACGCAAGACTCGCTAGTTCTGATCCACATATTTATTTATTAGGAAAAACCAGGATTTTACAGTGTAGGTATACAAATAATATCTATACTTTATTACTTTTTATCCCGGTTTTTGAAACAGGGACGCGCGCGTTAAAGTTTTTCTGTCACAGACAAAATTCCATGCGGGCGAATTAGAGCTATTAAGATAATAATTCTTATAAATGGTTCCCTGTTTTTGAGATACAACGCTCTTTTACAGTGTCTTAAAGGTTACGCCGCCGCTTCTAATCCATATGACTCTTCAAAGTGCCAATGATTTAAGTTTTATCTACAATCTTCCCGTGGGAGAGTAGTAGCCTTGTTCAGTAGCACAGTGCGCCCACGCGGGACTCAATTACCTTAGCTGTAACACGATCCGTAAGTAAAGCCCTCAATGGAGGTCCAGCACGCGAATCACTCTCGTTGTTTGATCTATACGTTTCTGTTGCTCATGTTGAATAAGACAGAGACGGGTTTTTTGAATTTGTAAAATCATTTCAAGCTCTAGTTAGATATCACAACTGACTGAATGCATCCATAGAAAATGACAGTTCGTGGATTGTCTTGAAAGTTTCAGGTTATTTGAAGGTTGCCGTAGTCCTTATCCATTTTGTCATTAGCGATGGGTTGGCCACTTTTGCCGTTGTACTGATAAGTCATAGTCATAGTCATAGTCATATATGTTTATTGCATCATGTTGGTACATTTGGATCTTAAATATTAATACAGAATCCCGAAACATGGCCCTGTAAGGGCATTGCAACATTATAGGTACATACAATATTAAAATCTAGATTATCAAAATAACAATATTACAGACAATTGCTTAGGTATATTTATTTATTTATCTAGATTTGAGATCAAAGAATTCTTTTAACGTGTAGAAACAAGCGTGTTCTTGAACATAGAGTAGATTAGTAAAACCTTGGAAACGGTATCTTGGGCAATGCGTGGTCTCCAGCTGAAAGGTAACGCCACACAATGCTGCTTACTTGCAACTGCTACGAATTTTGTGGTTGACAAAGAATAGCCGCGGATGATCCGGTGAGGTGCATTTGCTTGCCTAATTTGGCAAGGGTTCACTGATAACATGACTTCTTTTGGGCATCGTGCATTGTACTGCTGTTTTTATTTTTTTAAGGTGCAAGTTTTTAATTTATACGATGTTTCTATATTGAACATTTATTTTCTTTTCGTGTTTTTGCTTTAATGAAAACATGTAATGTTAATTCCTTTCGAATACCAACTTACTTCTACCTACCAGCGCGGCTGCGGTATGATTAAATGCTTTATTAATATTGCCAAGACCGAGCTTAAGAATCTCGTGAAGTCATAACAGATATTGTCTTTATTAAAAGCTCAGCCGATTGACTTGTAAATGTGTTGCATAATCATAAATAAAACATCATATGCGTCGGCACGAGTGTGATTAATTGTGTTAGGAAATGAAATTCAGATGAATACAATAGCTTTTATGGATATTTATGACTTAAAAGTTGTGCTTATTCTGTGCTTTAATTCTGAAAGTATGTATCGAACAGTATGTAGTAGACAAAACCTATGTTATGTAATGTAGCAAAATCATTCGCTTCAACTACAGCAGCTACTAGCAGAAGCTTGTTATTTCACAAGCTTTATTATATTAAGTTTGCTAAATATACTGACAGTAGCTTCACAGTTCATTTATGAAAACCTTTTATATGTTCGCAAAAATATAGAGAAATTTACTAGAAAGAGTGATTTACACAAGTTCAATACAAGAAACAAAAATAAACTTGCCGTTCCAAATTTCAGACTGCACAAGATTGGTGATTCATTTATGGGGAAATGTATTAAACTTTTTAATAAATTACCACAAACTGTTGTAGAATTGCCCATTCATAAATTTAAAGCACATATCAAAAGCACCTTAATGAAAAAGGGCTACTATAAAGTTGATGATTATATAAAAGATAAAAATGTTTGGAATGTTTAACTACCTAGCTCGCATCAATACTTATGACTATAATTTGTATATTTTAAAGACTGTAAAACCTTGAAAAGGAGGCTGACAATAGTGACTGAGTTTCTTGCGCTGCTTCTTCTCAGCACTGGCCCATTTATTGTCCCGAAGCAGTGGTAGGGTTAATATTGGGATTTTATGAATTTTATTTTATGAAATTTTATTTATTTATGCATGTGACGGCACGATCATGTTTGTTTATTCTTTCTAATCTCAATTATTTCAATAACTAGCTACATTATAACGATCAACAGTAATAATTGTTTGTTTTTTACAAATATGAGTCAGAAAGGATAACCCTTGACCTCAAATGTACATAATTGAATCTGTATAATCAGGGTCTGATTCTTCGTTGGATTTTCATAAAACCACAAAAGTAGTGCTCGTTAGTGTGAGTGTGTAGTTCGGTAATGTATGGACTAAGCATGATGATGATTTTTTAGTTATTTTCATAGTATTANATTTTTTCCTATTTTGTCGTTACAGCCAAATGACGTCCACTGCTGGACATAGGCGAGAGGCCTTTGGGTTTTCCATGGGTTTTTTATAATAAAAAGTCCTGCGCTGCCCGCATTCAGGTACTTCTCGCGACCTTTAACAGATCGTCGGTCCACCTAGTAGGAGGCCTGCCCACGCTGTGTGTGCAAAATCATGTTGTGACGTCACGCGCGAATATTGGAAATTTTTGAAAATTTTAAAATGTCCGTAAACTTCTCGAGGCTCTATCTTCGGTAATACTGGATGGATTGAGGTGAAATAAAAACTAGTGTAATGTGTGTGATCTAAACTTTAAATTAAGTCATAATTTAACTTAATATTACAACTTATGCGAGTTGTCCATTCCTGGCAATAAGTGGTGACTGAGTTTGTTCCGGCGTTTCTTCTCAGCACTTGCCATATGTTTGTCTCGAAGCGCTGGTAGGGCCCAAAAGATAAGGAGACATGTAAAGTGCCCCATAAGGGCTACCTTTTTCTTTTTTTCTTTTTTTCTATTGTCGTTCATAAGTGTCACTTGTGGTCTAAACTGAATAAATATTTTTGATTTTGATTTTTGATTTTGATGAACTGTTGTCCTCAGATGCTGTCTGGAGCGCCCGGAGGCAGATGCGAGGTCACCAGGATCGTCCGCCAGCTGTGCGGCGGGGATGCTGCGGGGTAAGCTCCATCATCCTACTGTGGCGACATCTACGATACGCCACTACAAACGTGTACCAACAGATGGCGCTGTTACGACTGCACTATGGCACACTCCGCCGCTCATACAAACCTGCATCGCGGTGACGGAGTTTTCTACCCTGC